GCACCGTCCAGCTGGTATTTCACACGCCAAAGCACCCGCCCAATCTGCCCGAGTTCATTGTGGTGCGCGTTCCAAACTACACCGAGAATCGTGGCCCAAATATCCTCGGCATCGAAGATGCCGACGATCTGGTGCCAATACGGATGGTAAAGCGCGCCCGTGACAAGGGCAAAAACAATCGGGCGATAGGCGGCGGTGAAGAGAGTCGGACCGAGTTTCGTGTTGGACCGCCGCTGGAGGGCGGCAGCGCATTCACCGGCTTTAAAGGCCAGGGCGCCACGCTGGATCGAGTGGTGGCCAAAGTGAAAGCGTGGGTAGAGACGCCCGGCTTCTGGACGGTGGTGGTGTCGCGTGTCAGACACCCACATCACCTGCACATTCCCACTGACGAGTGGCCAACTGTCGAGGAGATTCAGGTTCAGCGTCTGAATCCAGACGTGCTGGAGGCCGAGATTTTCGAGCGCCAAATGAAAATCAATGCCGCAAAGACGTGGCGTCACTTTGTGGCTGCCGAGGATGACGGCCAGTGGAGTAGCGCCGATAATGTCATCGGAGACGCTGTCCACGTGGCTTGGAGGCGGCTGCACACACGCGACGTGGCCTCTATTGTGTGTGACGAGCTGCATGCCAAGGGAGTGGATGTGTCTGTAAGTGATGTGCAGCACGTTATCCAGAAAATGTCGGAGACGGACGAGGCACTGATCCTTGCTGACCACATATATCTCACCTCACGGCAGCACTGCTGTCTTCTGCGCAGTAAAATACAGCGTGGACGACGGCGCCCCACTGCCACCAAACCGTCCAAGCGGCCGGCCTCCACGTCTGCTGGTCGGGGCCGGCGTGGTAAGGGTCGCCGCATCTCGTGAGAAAGGACGCTACGCATCGGTCGTGGATTTGCCGTGTGGTAAACTGTCACCTGAGCAAACCGTTGCACGCTTACGCAACGTGTCACTGGGAACTCACTGAACTAGTGAGGGAGTGTTAGTGATGTTACTGTGAGCTGTTACTGTGAGTTGTTACTGTGTTACCGTGAGTGTTACTAGGTGTACTTATTCAATAGTGTGTGTTATTGGGTACGTTGGTCTAGAAAAGAGTGGTGTGAGTGAGTGAGAGTGGTGAAAGAGTGGTGCGCCATTGGCTCGGTGCTTTAGTGTTCGCACCTTGTCTACTACGCACTACGCCCGCGATCAGGAGTACACGGCACTGGCACAACCGGACTCCCCTGCCATCGACTGATCGCCCCACGCGCTCAGCCCCCGAGATGACCCAAGCTTGGACGATATCCAGTGGAACAGGGTGAGAGCAACTTATCCTCGTTGCCGATTTCGCTGTTTTGGCATCAAACTGACCACGACGATAACGATATTGAATACGTTTTCAGTTCTTACGCGTCGGAGTCGCCATAATGGCAAAACAGCGCGATCAACCTCTGGATGAGCTGTGGGGAGGACCCTCGTGCATTGCACGTACCTTTGGAGCTGCGCTATCCAAGGTTTAAATGGTCCGCAGCGCATCACGTTGCCACTCTCTTACCGCAGCGAGGCTGTCACGTAGCCCGCACGGGCACGGTGGGAGAGTAGGGGGATGCAGGCTGGTCGTACGTCCCGACTCAGTCATGATTGCTGTTGGGAGGAGCTGCGCCTTGCAAGCTTCCCAATATGTGCGCGCCCAACCCCGAGCCGGGCTGCCGTAGTGCAGTCGTGGGGTATGACTGCCGCGTGTGGGACCCCGATGCATGACGCAAATCGGTGATGAGGGCGATCGTGGCAAAGTAAAGCTTGCCACGGCCGCCAACATCACGGATGGTGCCGATTGGAACCGCACTATCGGGGTGTAAACGGTCGCAAGTGCGGGCCCCGTACACACGCTCTGCTCCGTTGAACGGATGGGGACAGTGTCCGGCAAGTCCTAAAGAGCACGTGTGAGTCACAAGGCGCAATGTAGGACGTGACTACGGCTGGGGCACTGCTAATGAAATGTTCAATTTCGGGCCATTTCATTAGCCACCCTATATCATTTCCCACCCAACAGATGTATCCGTTACATCTCCTTAACGGGTTCTCGAGGCAGTTTGCTTTTAACGTAATTTTGCCACGGTTACATATGGCACTGTTTAGACTTAAATGTATATGCCTCTAGGGCGGGCAGCACGGTGCACGGATGAACCTTTGGTGTGCGACAATCCTCCACAGCCCAAGGTATATCCCTGTTCCTCCATCCGCCTCCTCGTGGCGCTGCCTGGAGTGTTAGGCACTGCCTAGCATACCAAGGATGGAAAACTAGCACTTGCGTCGATTGCGCATAATAGACACAGGTAAACTGAATCTCCTTCTACACGGAACAACCAACAAGCATGAACAACTCCTGACACTGGCACAACAGGTCCAAAATTACATTACGTCAACTAAACGTTTTTGTGTGTGAAACGCAAAAGTGTGTTGCGTAAAAATGAATGAAATAATAAAAATAAATAAGTAAATAAATAAATATACAATAGGGAACCACTGGCGCTGCTTCTACCGGCTGCTGATCCATCTTTATTACCCAGCGGGTAAATGAACTCGCACCTATAGGTAGACCGCCGCTCGTACCTGACAATACAATAACGAGTGTTTGTAGCATGCACCATGCGCACATGACCAATGTCTTCACCCAGCATGTATTGGACATACCAGGTGGTCGGTACCGATCAGGACGGCAGCCGGTGGGTCCGGGAGGCCCTCCTCCGGCCCACCCTGTCCTCGGTGCGTGTGGAGCCGGTCAGACCCGAGGCCAGTCCGGCCCGGCCCGGTGAGAGCGGCGAGCTCCAGTTTCAAGTCACTAACGAATGACGCTACCAGCACACTTAAGGGTAAGAGCCAAAAGGGATCATTTTCATATTCAGTGAATCTTGTACGAATATACATATTGTACGAATATGTATTGGCTAAAAGTGCATCAAACATATTCAAGAATAATAACGTCATTTCTACATTACCGCTTCGAAGTTTCGTTTTTTTTTTCGAATCGTCACTTCGTATCGATCTTCACGAGCACGTCTTTGGTTCAGGCCGTGCTACCGCTTTTATCCTGCTTTGAAATTATTGCAACGTGTGTTTTGTATGCAGTGCATGTCAAGCAATGTACGACCATCGTTTCACTTCAGCTACTCTCTTTTCCCCTTTCAGCTACTTCCAATCGCTGAGTGAGCTCCGTGTAACTCTCGCGCCACGTCAGAGTCGCACGGTTACCCTGCGGTACTACGTGCCGCCCTTGGCACGCGCCGGGGCTCGGTTACCGTGCTCGTCTCGGCCCTGCTGGAGAATAGGGCACACGGCGCTGCCGCCCACCAGACTGTCACTGTACTGGCCCAGGTGATTACCGAGGATGGTCGTATGAGAAAGGAGGGGTTGATGCCCAAATCGCTCATGCATTGATGATGACATTTGAAATGGAATTGTGTAACACATCGAACGAATGTTCTTTTCATTCATTGATATAACTTGCCACAAACAAAACAAAACAAAACCATAATCTGTCAAACCTAAGAAAGAATGGATTTAAATAGCAACCGCCGTTGATGCACGTGCCTTTATATTGCCTTAAGCTAGGATTTCGAAACACCATCCTGTGCACGATATCAACCAGCTTTTTTGGTGCGGACATGCCTTGTTCTACCTGGCAAGGACTTCATCGACACTGTACCTGTCTCTTTCAGGCATTTCATTATCTTGTTAGCAGTTTTTTTTTGCCAACACCGAGCTGTTTGGGAGCGTTTCGGACGCTGTGGCCAGCCTGCATCGGCACCGCAATTTGGACTCTGTGTCATCTCCGCCATAGCTCAGCAACCATGCCAAAATTAAAAACTATCATAACAGCTATACACGAGTCGGTTGGGAAGCCGCATGCAAAATTTCACTAAAATCCGTCCAAAACTTTTTGAGTTATGGTCTGAAAACCAACATGTAAATCTTTCTGCCTCACCCTGTATACCTAAACCCGCCCTCAGCTATGACTCATGTCCGCTGGACCTTATCGCCTTGTCTCGCCTCTCACGCCTTGTGTCGCCCCTGCAGAAGGAGGATATTTCGGCTCCGACGTGCACAGTCCTGCCAGGAGCTGACGTAGATTGCGGTGACTACCTCACCGAGGACGACTGTAATGACCGGTTCCGGACAGTGGAATTTGGGGTCTCCGACACCGGATCAGGTGGGTTCCTATCGCGGTCAATTTATTTTGTTCACCTTATGTTGCAGTCCCTTTAACTTATATTTAGCACTAACACTCAAATAGCCATGGATGTTATCTAATGCCATTTGCTCTTTGTTTGCAGGTCTACAAGAGGTGCACATGTTCCCCAGCGGGGTGTGTCAGCTGACCGCCGGCCAGGTCGTCGTGGGCAGCCGCGACTGAAGGGTCGGTGCCGTCCCTTCTGCGTCAACCCAGGGCCAACGTTATGGCGGTCGACCGCTCGGGAACATTGTATCTACACTGTCGACCTCGGCAACGTCTGTGAGTTGAGGGGAAGGAGGAAGGGAGGGGGACGGACGGAGGGAGGGAGGAAGGGAGGGGGACGGACGGACGGACGGACGGACGAGGGAGAGAGAGAGAGAGAGAGAGAGAGAGAGAGAGAGAGAGAGAGAGAGAGAGAGAGAGAGAGAGAGAGAGAGAGAGAGAGAGAGAGAGAGAGAGAGAGAGAGAGAGAGAGAGAGAGAGAGAGAGAGAGAGAGAGAGAGAGAGAGAGAGAGAGAGAGAGAGAGAGAGAGAGAGAGAGAAATGGAGGAAGGGAGGGCGAGCTGAAACTTGGAATGCAATAACTTTTCATAAGACGGAATGGATATGGATCGAGAAGGTTGGAATGGAGTTAGAAAGAAAGCGAGTTAAATGGATTAATTGGAATGGGAGGAAATACTGCAGGAAAAGGTATGTAATTGTAATAGGTATAAGTAAAGTTATTTTGGGATAAAAGGCACCTTCCGACCACAAATGACCGTGTAACCAATGCTTCTGAACTCCCCAGCCTACGGTGGCTGGTGCTCAGCTCGACCAGTCTGGGCCTGGTGATCGGCGGCGCGCTTCTGGCATTTATCCTCCTGGTGCTGCTGGTGGTCTTCCTGGTCAGTCGGAGACGACGCAGCTGGGACTAGCGCGACCTGCCGACTCTGGAGCAGCAGCGACGGCAGGAGCGACACAGGAGGGCAGCGGCCAGTCGAGCCACGTGTGAGGGAGCAGCGTGGAGAATTAGAGACCCGTGTAACCGCAGGTTGTTTGAAAAGACAAACACTATTCGTTAGAATTGTGTTTTTCTATTGAAAAACAACCGGAGCGGTCCTTGTCCGGGCTATGTTTTGCAAAGTTGGCCTGAGATTGGGGCAACTTGATTGGGGCCTAAACTTGTGGCTCGATTTTCGTAAAAATTTCAGTGTATGGGCTCCCGCAGGCGATCTACCTGATGGCACCGGTCGCTACTCGCTTAAAACCTCGTGGCACGTGGCACGTGCGTTTCAATTTTCGCCCATGTTAAGTCAATGGGGTTTTGGACACTTTTTGCGCCATCGGGAATGGCGGAAAAACGAGCCAAGAAAGGGGTGGTTTTCATCCCAGCATTTTATGGCAAACACGTTTGGGTACACGCTAGTGTGCACCGTATACCCCTCAGAATTCCGTAACGTGCCTTTGCACGAGGTCAAAGTTGAACTTTTTTCGCTCCCCATGTTAAGTCAATGGGCGTTTTTGCAGAGACATTTTCATTCGTTCATTGCACAAAAATATGTGATACGATTTTGTTTAAACTTTCAGGACCTGTTGAGAAACGACCATAGAACATGTTGTTATGCTTCGTTATGAAATATAATGGCCCGTTTTGGGGTAATCGGCACGTGCATTTTCCCATAGGGTTAACATGGGAAAAAATTAAAATGCGATTTGCGAAAAATTTCGTCAATTATATTTGCTGATATTTTTAGGGTCGGATCTCGGGCTGGCACCCCAACTGACGGTGATAATTACTTAAAATATAATTGACAAAATTTCGGGTAATCGTCACAAACAGTTACCCCATGTTGAGCCTATGGCGATTTCAAAAAATTATTTTCAAATCGATTTTGTCAAAAATTTCCACGTTAGATTTTGAAAATGTTCCAATATGTTGTGCCCCAGGGTGTCGGCTACCACATGGTATGGGTCAGATATGGGGCGATTGAAAAGCACGTGCCACGTGCAAACGTGTTCGATGGGGTAACCTCCGGGAAAATCCGACATTGGCCAACTCGGGGTCCTATGGCGTGGAAACGACTTCAACTAGCGACACCAAATCAGTGCAGCCGGTGAGCAGATGAATCCAGCTTGTCGCACTGGTGGTCACGTGTCGCACGTGCTATTGCACGTGCCGTGGCACGGAATCAATTTTGGTGCTTAAATATACTAGCATTGTGAAATGCAAGGCATGGGGGAAATCGCCGTCAGGCCGTCAGTTTTGATGATAGGGTCGATCTGAAAAAGGGTTTAGGCACAGAATGAAGGGGTCTAAAAAACTGCTATCTCGGATTTTTTTGTAAAATGAAAAATTTAAAATTCTGGGGAAGTTATATATTCGAAAGGTGAAATTTCCCTAAATTTTCCCGTTTTTAGAGTTTAGCCGTCCACTGTTCAGAGACGGTGACACCGGCCGGGGTCATCTTTTACATGCTGATGGCCACGTCGATGGGTCATCACGTGGCGTGAACGGTGAAGCTATCAGAGGTCCGGCACGTGCCACGTGGCCACGTGTTTGAGTCCCGTACCTCCCAGATTATCGTGTGTTTGCCGATTTGTGGCCTTATAGCACGAAAACAGCACAAGCCAGGAACACTGAAATAACCACTCGAGACACAAGTGTCACATGTGAGGAAATGGGATTGCAGTGATGGAGAAAAACCCAAAAGCTATTAGCCATGCAGAGCATAACCGCAGGTTGTTTGAAAAGACAAACACTATTCGTTAGAATTGTGTTTTTCTATTGAAAAACAACCGGAGCGGTCGTTGTCCGGGCTATGTTTTGCAAGTCTGGCCGCGAATTGGGGCAACTTGAGCGGGGCCTAGACGAAATGTACAATCTTCGTAAAAAGTTCAGTGTATGGGCTCCCGTAGGCGATCTACCTGATGGCACCGGTCGCTACTCGCTAAGAAGTCTTTTGCGCGTGGCACGTGCGATTCCATTTTCGCCCATGTTAAGTCAATGGGGTTTTGGACACTTTTTGCGCGATCGCTAATAGCGGGAAAACGAGCCAAGAAGGAGGTGGTTTTCTTCCCAGCATTTTATGGCAAACACGTTCAGGTACACGCTCGTGTGCGCCGTATACCCGCCAGAATCTCGTGGCACGTGGCACGTGCGAATTCTTTTCCCCATGTTAAGTCAACGGGGTTTTGGACACTTTTTGCGCGATCGCCAATGGCGGGAAAACGAGCCAAGGAAGAGGTGGGTTTCTTCCCAGCATTTTATGGCAAACACGTTCCGGTACACGCCCGTGTGCGCCGTATACCCGCCAGAATCTCGCAACACCTCTATGCACAAGGTCAAAGTTGGAATTTTGCTGTGTCCCATGTTAAGTCAATGGACGGCGATGCCGAGACTTTGCAGAAACATTTTCATTCGTTCATTGTACAAAATTTTAGAGATAGAATTTGCCCAAACTCTTATAGCTTGTACAGGAAAGAGCGTAGTACATGCTGGTATGCTTCGTTAAGCTGGCAGAAATCGTTTTTTTTCTAATAAAGTTCGTTGGAAAATGAAAATTTTTAACATGGAAAGTCAATGGGAGCGTTTTTATTCCTCTATAACTTTTATCTTTAGTAAGACATATAGGTGAAAAGTTAATATAATATACAACTTCTGATGCTCTTTCCACTGGTGCATAGAACGTCACTGCACGATGTGCCGTTTTTAAGAAAAGCTGTAAAAAATCAGGGCTCGACTGTGACTTGAACCCAACCACATTAGAGTATACGAACAGGTGAAGGGGACACCTCCCATGTGCGGACGCGACGCTGAATATTGCTAATTATTAGCAGTCGGCCGCACTGGGGGCGCCTTTGCAAAGCTTATATCTCCACAACCACTTGACCGATTCACTTGCGGTCTTTTGTGTGGGATAGCTTCTTCCTTTCTCACACGTAGTGTGCTACCCTCGATACGTATGGGTGACCCCTAATGCACGTGCCACGTGCAAAACGAAGAGGTGTCAGTTCGGTAACAAGTCTAATAACTCTGTAGTTAGTTTGCCGATTGCACTGATATTTGGCATGGATGTAGGCACCCGCCGTGCAATGCATTTCCATGTGTCACGGTTGGGGTGCCGCTGTATGCGAGGGAGCCAAAAGTGATGTCGAGTAACCGCAGGTTGTTTGAAAAGACAAACACTATCGTTAGAATTGTGTTTTTCTATTGAAAAACAACCGGAGCGGTCGTTCTCCGGGCTATGTTTTGCAAGTCTGGCAGCGAATCGAGACATCTTGATTGGGGCCTAGACGAAATGTACAATCTTCGTAAAAAGTTCAGTGTATGGGCTCCCGGAGGCGATCTACCTGATGGCAACGGTCGCTACTCGCTTAAAACCTCGTGGCACGTGGCACGTGCGATTCCATTTTCCCCATGTTAAGTCAACGGGGTTTTGGACACTTTTTGCGCGATCGCCAATGGCGGGAAAACGAGCCAAGGAAGAGGTGGTTTTCTTCCCAGCATTTTATGGCAAACACGTTCCGGTACACGCCAGTGTGCGCTGTATACCCCTCAGAATCTCGGAACGTGTCTTTGCACGAGATCAAAGTTGGAATTTTGCTGTGTTCCATGTTAAGTCAATGGACGGCGATGTCGAGACTTTGCAGAGACATTTTCATTCGATCTTTATACAAAATTTTAGAGATAGATTTCGCCCAAACTCTTATATCTTGTAGAGAAAGGAGCATAGTACATGCTGGTATGCTTCGTTAAGCTGGCAGAAATCGTTTTTTCTTGTAAAGTTCATTTGAAAATTAAAATTTTTAACATGGAAAGTCAATAGGAGCGTCTTTATTCCTCTATAACTTTTATCGTTAGTAAAATATATAGGTGAAAAGTTAATATAATATACAACTTTTGATGCTCTTTCCACTGATGTATAGAACGTCACTGCACGATGTGCCGTTTTTAAGAAAAGTTGTAAAAAAGCAGGGCTCGACTGTGACTTGAACCCAACCACATTAGAGTATACGAACAGGTGACGGAGATACCTCCCGTGTGCGGATGCGACACTGATTATTGCTAAATATTAGCAGTAGGCCGCCTGTGGGGTGCCTTTACAAACCTTATATCTCTGCAACCACTGGACCGATTCACTCGCGGTCTTTTGTGTGGGATAGCTTCTTCCTTTCTTACACGTAGTGTGCTATTCTCGATGCGTATGGGTGACCCCTAATGCACGTGCCACGTGCAAAACGATGAGAAGTCAGTTCAGTAACAAGTCTAATAACTCTGTAGTTAGTTTGCCGATTGCGCTGGTACTTTGCATGGATGTTGGCACGCACCCGGCAATGCATTTCCATGTGTCACGGTTGGGGTGCCGCTGCACGTGCGCACGGGCAGGGTGACGCTTCCAGATCTCGAGAACGGCTGGGCCGATTGTGATAAAAGTTGGCACACCGTTAGGGATCGGTGAGTAGGGTGCCGTGCACAAGTCAGATGGGACCCATTTGGCACGTGCGCACGTGCAGGCTGACGCTTCCAGATCTCAAGAACGGCTGGGCCGACTGTGCTCAAATTTGGCATACCGCTAGAGACTGGTTAGTAGGATGCCGTGCACAAGTCAGTTAGTATGTATTTCCATGTGCCACGGTTGGAATGCAGCTGCACGTGCGCACGTGCAGGGTGACGCTTTCATATCTCGAGAACGGCCGGGCCGATTGTTATCAAACTTAGCACACCGCCAGAGATCGGCGAATAGGGTGCCGTGCAAAAGTCAGTTGGAACCATTTTGCACGTGCGCACGTGCAGTGTGACGCTTCCGGATCTCTAAAATGGCCGTGCCGATTGCACTCAAATTTGGCACACCGCTACAGACCGGCGAATAGGGTGCCGTGCACGTCAGTCCGTAGCACACCC